ATATATATATATATATATATATATAATAAAAGGCTTAAAATAAATGTATATTTGCACGTATATATATATATATATATATATATATATATATATATATATATATATATATATATATGGCTACAGGACATTACCCCCCTGGATATTTCCCCCCCGGACATTCCCCCCCCCCGTATTTACCCCCCGGAGCAATTACCCCCCTGTCAATTACCCCCCTGTCGATGACCCCCCCCCCCCCCCCCGGGGAATTACCCCCCCCCCCCCTCTCAAGTTAAAATCCTAACTCTAACTAGAATTTTATCCCTATATACTACTTTAATCCAAACCTTAAGAAAAAGACCAAAACCTAAGCATCCACCTTAGCCTAAAACTTCACACAAAACCAAAACCAAAGCTAGACACAACCCTAACCCTAAAACTAGCTCTAACCCTAACCCTAGCTCTAACTCTAACCCTAACCCTAATCTTAACCCTAATCCTAACCCCAGCCCTAGCCCTAGCCCTAGCCCTAGCCCTAATCTTAACCCTAACCCTAATCTTAACCCTAACCCTAGCCCTAACCCTAACCCTAACCCTAACCCTAACCCTAACCCTAACCCTAGCCCTAGCCCTAGCCCTAGCCCTAGCCCTAGCCCTAGCCCTAACCCTAACCCTAACCCTAACCCTAACCCTAGCCCTAGCCCTAAACCTAACCCAAAACCTAGCCCTAACCCTAACTCTAACCCTGTCCGGGGGGGGGGGGGGTAATGTCCTACTGGGCGGGGGGTAATTGACAGGGGGGTAATTGACAGGGGGGTAATTACTCTGGGGGGTAATGTTGGGGGGGAAATATCCGGGGGGTAATTGACAGGGGGGAAATGCCCTGTTCCCTATATATATATATATATATATATATATATATATATATATATATATATATATATATATATATATATATATATATATATATATATATATATATATATATATCGTAATCTTGCAGTTTTTTAACTCAGCTTATATCTTGAGTTCACAAGCCGACATTAACTACATTCAGCCACTCACAACTTACCCACAACTGTAGGTATATCGCTTTAATACCTGTGATGGGGAACTCTAGGAGCCGAGACAAACAGACAGACCTGTTGAACCAAGACCACACCCGAACTTCACCCCATGGGCAGACGACCAGAACGGCACGCGCCAAGTCGATGACGTCACTTCCTGTGCTCTGCTTCAACACGTCTCACACGGCCCCACGACGCTGGAGTGACCCACCTACACACCAGTCCAGAGACAACTCACTCTCCTCAATTAATGTAAACATTACACATGTAAACATAGTAGAAAACGAGCCTGAACACAAACACGACAGTGAACAAGGGATGCAACAAAGTAAAAACCGATTCACTGCTAAGCTTAATAACGGTATCGTCCCTTTAAGCAAGCGGGAAATGCGTCGTGCTAAAATAAAAGAAACCCCAGAACCAACTACGCAAAGGCAAATTCTCACAGGATCTTTCTTAGAAGTGACATGTATTGACGTTGTAAGTCATTTAAGCTATGATAACGAAGAGATGACTCCGGAAGTCCAAGAACACCACATATTAAGACAAGAAGAGCCAGTGATTATTGCAAGGCCACTGAGCGATGTTCAACTATTCGACAAACACATTCCATATTTACACACATCTCTTCCAACGCTTAAATCCCGTTCAGATCGTTTTATAAATAAACCACAACGGCGTTTTACTTTCCCTTTCGATTTCAAAGAAAACGAAAATGAAAGCTGTCACAAATTACCTCGTTGGTACAGCGACCCACAAACACTTCATCTAATAGACAACACCACTTTGTCAATGCTGTTAGATGTTAAAACAACCAGTACAAACGTAGAAGAAAAGACGGATTTAAATTTGAAGAAAAAAAGCGTAAAAATCAAAGGGAAGCAACGAAAAATAAACCGCATTGGCGCTAAGCTTATTAAGAGTATTGCCCCTTTATGCAAGCGAGGAAAACGGCGGTCGAAACGAAAAACAAATCCCGGACCAGTCCCGCAGAGGTTGAGTTCAACTGGTCCGTTTCTAGAGTCATGTGACTCGCTAGCCAGCTTTGAGATCGTTGACCATTCCAGCTGTAACGAGGAGTCTTATCCCGACGTACAACAGCACGTGGTTTTAAAACAAGAGGAGCCGGTGTCTGTTGCTAGGTTACATCGCGTTCTTCAACCACGTGACAAAAACAGAACATATTTGAAAACAACATCTCTTCCTTCGTTGAACACATTCTCGGATTATTCGATAAATAAACAACAGCTGCGCCTTACGCACTCTGCTGATATCAAAGAAAAGGAAAATAAAGATAGTGTTTATTTTTCAAGTCGAGTGGTCAAAGGGAGATCACAAGAGAATTATTTTCACGACGATGAGGCACACATGACTAGCCTCCCTTTGTTAGCTGAACCTAAATGCTCAAGCTACCAGCCCCTGACGTTAGCAGAGCTGGCCGAATTACGTCCCTTTTTAGACGTCAGCGATTCAATTGAGGATTTTGATTGTCTGGAAGATTCTCTTAACGCTTGTTCGCAGGAGTTAAGCGCCAAACCCCCTTCACGGATCCGAACCCGACTCTCTCGCTTTAAACAATCCTGCAAAAAACTCATCCCAAAGTTAACTCACAAAACCCAGACAGACCAGGGGAGTAAAATAAACGGGCTTCAAAGAGAGAATTCGTGTCTAGTTAAAACGTACATACCGCCGGAAAATCGGACAAGGAATATCCGGATCGCTCGACCCGGTCAGGCGGATCCGTTGATAATTTCAGGAGCGGACACCCTTGGGGGTTTACCCGAGGGTGAGGGGTCCCAGTCCAGATTTTTAACGTCGTGGAGTCTGTGTGACGACGCGAGCGGTTGCTATGGCGACGGTGATACCGAAAGTAAATCGGGTGCCGGCCCCAGCCGTCGTTTAAGTTTAAACCCCGCTGTCGTTGAGGAATCATTAAGTAGGTCACGTTCTAATAATAACATTTCGCCCCGTCGAAAATTCAACAAGAAACGGAAGATTCGCCGCGAGGATGGGTTGGGCGACGACATTTCCGACGACTCGGAGGAATCGTCCTCGAAGAGACGCTCGGTCTGGAACTCTACGAGCCGGTTGTACAGCAGCTGCCGGGATCTCCAGCCCCGGGCCATGCACTTCCCGTCGCCTGAAGGTCAAGGCCGAGCGGCACACGTGGCCCCGCGGGCCAGCAGCCGCCTGCTCGGGTACCTGTCGAGTTCCAGCCTCGACTCGCTCAACTCGCAGCTGACCAGCCACCGCTCGGTCAGGTCGACCTCGTCGGCGGACGAGTCGTGCGCGTGACAGGTTTGTTGAGCTGGGTCACGTGGATTTTTTTAGGGGGAGGGGTTTACGTCACATGGCTTGAATGACGTCATATACTTTGAGTGGCTTCACACGGTATGAAATTTGTCACATCTTTAAACTGATGCCGCATTGGGTTTGACTGACGTCACATGCTTTGAATGACGTAATATACCTTGAGAGTTTGAATGATGTCACATGTTTTGATTGATAACGCAAGGTGTTTGAGTTATGTTCCACCTTAGCAACGAAAGACTGAGAGACTAGGCAGGTCTTGACTGACAGATGATTGACCCAGCAGGGTTGACCTCTCAGGCTATCTGCTACCAGGCTTGATTGTATGTCATAATGTCCAGCTGTTATTTAATGTAATTTTTAGAGCACTACTGAGTACACTGATACCAGGCAACAGTGAGTTAACTCAGCCCTATTGTGTACCAGGCAACAGTGAATTAACTCGGCCCTATTGTGTACCTGGCAACAGTGTGTTAACTCAGCACTATTGTGTACCTGGCAACAGTGTGTTAACTCAGCCCTATTGTGTACCTGGCAACAGTGTGTTAAGTCAGCTTTGATAGGTACCTACTAACAGTGAGTTAACTCAGTCCAAATGGGTACCAGGCAACAGTGAGTTCACCCAATCATAAGAGATGCCTGACAACATGGGTACCTTAGACCTAATACATACTTGACAAAAAGCTTTGAGTACTCAGCTATAAAAGTGTTTAGACATAAATTGAGCTGTGTATGTTGACCATTTATTTCTTGAACATGCTGGTTTCTTGCTGTTTTTTTTTTTTTTTTTTAATAATACATTCTACTTCCTCTACCCTCTGCAATGTCAAGTCCCCAGGCCATACTAAGGTACTTTTTTTTTTAAATTAACATATAAACAACATAAAAAAGACAAAAACAGATCAGGTATATCTCTTTAGTGCTTTAGTTTACTATCTATTTTAAACCTCTTAAAAAACATTGCATAAACAAAACAACAAAAAAATTCTCTGCCAACAAGCACAGATAACTCTACATCACTCAACTATACACCAGTATTTTACAGTTGTATTTAAGGTTAATCTGTACATAATATTTACACCTTCTCTAAATAAGTTAAATTATGTCACATTGTGTTGTATATCACCAATTAGATTTTAACACATTTTTAATTAACATGTACATACAATATGCATGCAGTAACTAGTAGTAAAAAAAACATTTGAACAAAAGTTGGTCTTGAGGTAATGGTAGTAAGTCTCTTACTTATAAAGTAAAATGTAGCGCAAGTTTTGTTTGAAAATCGAAACAAATTTCATGTAATTAAGTGATTTATTTTAAGCAAAAATTATTTAAAATTTTGTTTCATTGATCCAGTTAATTTGTTTTCAAGTGTTAACAGATACACATTTAGAAAATAAAAATAATAGCTAAAATACTAAATTTTGTCTTTTTGTTCTTTGATATAAATTTACTGCTTGATTTCATTTAAATTTTTTAAATAAAAGAAATCTTGGACACTATTAATTAATAAATTATTATTGAATAAAATTAAAATTATTATTTTGATATTTCATATTATTTACATGTTTCAAACTTTGAAAAGATCGCAGAAGTTGTGAGGCAATACATTGGTCACATGCAAAAGAAAAATATTTTATCACATGTCAATGGCTCATCGAAGAAATTTCATGTTAATTCAGCTTAAGCTTAAATGCAAAATTCAAATTTTTACTTCAAACTGTCACTAAGATAATTGTTATACTGTGATACTTCATTAATATTTTTTTGTTTATATCAGAAAAAAAATGTATCAAAATGTAATAATTTATTACTCTATTAACATTCGGGAGAAAACTAAAATTGGTTTAAGTGTTAGGTCAATGAATACGTTAACGTAATGTACAAGAACAGTGTTGTCACACAAATAAACATATTTGTATCACAGTTTCTATTGGATACACCAAACAATTTTACAAAAACATTCAGGCTTAATGTATATGTACATGTGAAAGCTACATCATTTTAATGCATCACTGGATCAAACTAATAACATTAATTACAGCTTTGGAGTGAGACTAATTAACAGTGACAGATTTCTGGTGATGCTGACTCCGTTGAGACCAGTTCCGCCACATGTGAATATTTTTAACTACCCCAAAATCCTTTCTCAAAGCTACCACAACATATAAGGGTGCTTTGTTGTAAGAAAGTCATTAGGGGCTACATGATCATTTTCAGCGGAATCTTAATCAACCAGACTCTAATAGAAAATGTAAGTTCCATCCGGATTCTCTTTATAAATAAATGACCTGATTGTTGCATTGACTTATAAAGGTGAGTAACTTTTGTAAGAGGCAGGTGGGCAAACATTGAGTGAGTCATTAACAGATTTAAAGCTGTTAATAAATTAATCGTCAATGCTATGTTAGCACATAAGGTTGATAATCATATTTGGGTAGTACAGTAAGAAATAAATAAACAAGAAGTTCAACGTTAATAGATTTCATAAAGAGTAAGTTATGAGATTAGACTATCATTACATATAAACATGTAATATATAAGTTCATATAGGATTTGATGGTATAATATTTATACTGGTTCTGAAGGTCAAGGTAATATTTTGTTATCAACATGTGATGTGACCTAATTGATTCTAGATAGTTCTCACAGCCAAATATTGAATTGTATTTGAGATTCAAATAACGTTTTCAACAACGATAGAAGATTTGAATCAGACTAGCATCAATGAGGATCAAGATGAGGACAGAGGAAAGTGGTATGGGGGGGGGGAGATAATTTCCTAAAAAGAGGTAACAGTATAATTTGTAAAATTTGCACATCTTCATTATGGTGATATTTAGAAGAAACCTACAAAGAATGTATGAGATCTAATGTTTGCTCGTTAATGTTTGCTCGTTAACGGTGTAGGTGGCATACCACCACTTCGATTGTTAGGTCATTTGCTAAAGGTCTCCAATGACATTCAAAAAGTATAAATAATCACATTATCTTACACCTCATAAAAAGTAACTGTTTAATTAAAAAAAAGTCTATTTAAATAAATAAAAATGAACTGGTATAAAAATGATTTGTTACAACAAACTTCAAAGTAATGTTATTTTAAATTCTATACATATTTTTAAAAAAAGCAATGCCTATAACTGGCTTGTACTATATACATATTGTTAAAGTATTTGGTAAAATAAATAATGATTTATGGCTGTGTGAGTCAATGAAACACTGTTCGTACAATTTTTGTATCCTTTATAAATAACCAGTGTATGTTATATAAATATATTTTTTATACAGGTGATATTGCACACAACTTTAGGCTAGAAGCAGCTAGGTTTTACATCAGAGATATCACATTGTGCTAATAAATTATGGTACAGGTTATAAACAGTAAATGTTAACAGTTATTAAGTGCTAATAAATTATGGTACAAATATTAACAGTAATTTTAACAGTTAATGAGCGCTATTAAATTTACAATTAATGAACAGTGAGTTTGATAGCTTACAAGTTTTAGAACTGCCTTAACTTTTTTCTTTTAAATCTTTATAATTAGGTTGTTTATCTTGTTAATATTAATTTAATTCTCATTCATTGTAGAGAATTAAAATTTTATGATTTCAAAGATTTACTTTTTTTAAATATATGATAATCAGATTCGTATCACATTTGTTTTTTATGCTTTTGTGTTATACTTTATTTAATAACTGAACACTTTTTCAAAACTTTAACAAAGGGATTTTTTAAAAATTAAAGCTGAAATTGTATGAGGGGAATTTTAAAAATGAAATGGTGATCAGAATTAAGTGAAATGTCACTACAAGATTTCAACAAGCACAACCTAATGTGAATTAATATGTAAACAATAAAAGTAATTGGTATATAACAAGTACTAAACCCTTGTTAAAATTAACGCAATTTCTAAACTTGTGAACATTGACAGATTTAAAAAAAAAATTTAATAAATTATTTCTAGAGTATTCTAAAAAAAAAACTAAATTACTAGACCGCAGCAAATTTTATCTCTGGTTCAAGCTGTGAGCATCGTGGTCAAAGGTGCATAACTCTGCCATCTGCAGAAGGCTGGACTCGAGGGAGTGGGCGAACATCTGGGACGAGGTGTCAAGGCAGTCGTTGAAGGTCGCCACGCTGAAGATGATGGCGTCGGTTTTTGGGTTGTAGCAGCATCCATACCCATCCGGAACCACAGCGCCATAGCCCATCCAGTAGTCGGATACTGTAGGAACCTACATGATTATAAAAGAAACAATTAGGATAAAATAAACAAAATTATTCTGCACAATTTAATTTATAAGGGAGGCCACCCTAGTGACTTTTTTAAAAACTTCATCTTCTAAGTATGTTATTAAAATACTGATAGTCTTTTTGATATGATTTTATATTTTATAATATTTAATTGTTTCATTGCATTTTTATTTTATTACTAATTAGCCTTTCATTAATTCAATAAGAGAGGAGAAAGAGTGGGGATCAGTCAGACTAACTTTGGCCTCTCTATAGCCTACATTTTACTAAAAAATATTAGTTTAGCATTTGAAGGGAGCAAAATAGAACGGCCCAATTAGCAAAATTTGAAAAAAAAAATTTAACACCTAGAGGGAGCTAAAAAGATTTGCCCATTGTGATAAAAATGTAAAAAAAAAAAACATAACACTTAAAGGAAGCAAAATACAGGTTGCATTTCACAAAAACAAATTTAAAAAAAAAAATAGAAAACATAAAGGGGGCTAACCTGACTGGTGGAGAGACGGAATGTGTTTAGTTCCTTGTAGGAAGGGTCAGTGAAGAATTCTGGAGTTGGAATGTCCAGCTCTTTGGCGACCTCTCTAAGGCCGAGAAGGTGAAGGTCAATGCCATAACCCAGGATGGTCTGTGGTAAACAAAAGAATGACATCAGATCATGAAATGTGTTCGCTCTTAAAACATTGGTAGCTTAATTTACAACACAAAACACATACACAGTGAGCCTACTTAATAAAAATGTGTCATTTTTTTTAATCGGTTTAACATTCTGGGATTAAATCGATGTATTTGATGTAATGTTTAAACAAGATTATGTGTAAGGAAAAATAAATGTGTGAGAGAGCGCTTACATCCATCATGTAATCTTGTTGCCACTGTACAGCCTCATTGAGAAGTCGAAATTTCTCTTCCTCCTACAAAGATTTAAAACGTCTGTTAAATTTATGGTTTTTCTAAACCGAATAATAGTCTTAAAAAAATTAATTAGAGCTAATTAAATTTATTAATCAATCAATGGGATTGCTAATGAGACTGCTTACGGATGCTTCGGTTTGTCCAAGCATGGCCTTGACCCAGGCTAAAGCTGGAGGGGAGTTGGCCCTGATGACGTCAACTCTGCCTTGCCTGTAACGGCGGACAGAACAGCTTTCATAAGTCGATGTCATCCTGCCATGAATTCTGTTGAGAAAAAAAAATAAACTTGTTAGGCCTAATAAATATATTTATATATATAAAATTGTAACAAGTTTTAGGATAAAAAAGAATAAATGCAAAGACATTTTATTGTTAGATCTAGAATAGATATATCCTTGACTGATTGTTGTTTTTTTTTTGTTTTATTTTTTTGTGTTTTGTTTTGATTTTTCGTTTTGTTGTTTAGTTGTTGTAGAATCTTATCTTTTTTTGCTTGAATGAAAAATTGACTAAAATTTATTTTACTGACTTGTTTTCTTCAAGTTTAGGCCTAAAACGTGTGTTTTTCTACTGCGAGCTTTGAGTGTACACTGAAGCAAAAATAATTCTACCAATCAACTTACTTGTAATATGTAAGCTGCAACGCCAACTGTATGAAAGCATCGGGACTCATGTTTTGGCTTTTGATAAACTCTCGACCGTAGCCATCAAATTTGTAAACAGTTAAATCAAAATCTTCAACCATTCTGAAATGAAACAAAAAAATCAATAATAATAAGATTTTTCTATTTAAACTGATTATTTAAAGCAAAATTCTTTTAACTAGATCTAGTAAAATTACAACTATATATATATATATATATATACTAAGAAAACATACTTTCTTTTTAAACTGAGTATGCATATTGAATATTGTAATTTGTATTAACGAGTTAAATTGCAGCTATCTATCTTCTATATATATAATTCTCTTCTTCGAGCCGTTAGAAAACAAGCTGCAAACGCTCTCCCTACCTCCCCACCCCTACATGGTTTTAGTGAGCTGTGTTCACTCTAAATGTTTACAAATTACAAGCAGAGCCAACGATTTTAAACGTAGGGGGGGGGGGGGAGGAGGGGGGAGGGAAGGAAGGGGGGGGGTTATGGTCCTTAACGAGCTACTTATAGTGTTTTAAAGAAATATTTTCAGTGTCAGCGTTGGTACTGTCGAATTCACAAATTATGAATTATTGAAAATGGAGGCGAGCGAGTTGACGAGATTCCGTCCCCAATGTTGTTGACATGGAATAAAAACGTGCTTTTTAGATTTAGACCGTAAAAAAAAATAAAAAATAAAAACTTAAGCCTAAAATTAATTTAGAAATTTTATATTTTTAGAATAAATGCTATAAAAGTTGCAAATCCAGAGAACTTGAAAATAATTTGTTGAGTTTAAGGCTACATTTCTATTTATTTTCATCAAGCCTAAGTTATAACCGGATGTTTCACTTTCGTAAGACAAATATTGATTGGCTGTACAGTAACTTAGTGATCGATAACTATTTGTTTACAAAACTTTGCAGATCAAGTTTTTAAATAACAATGCAAATTTAAAACCCCATGACCTAGTTTTCTATTTTTAGCTTACAATGTGTACAATAAAATCAATGGCGGCCTATCCAATAGCAGGATGCCATTGTTTATGTCGCCATTACACGCGAAAACCAAATTGTTTTTGCTTTTTTTTTTAATTTTTATTTAGTTACCGAAAATATTATAAACATCAAATACATCCAATCTTTAGTAAAGTCCGAAAAAAACCAGATAGACAGGATTTTATAACCATATTAATTGTAACTACGCTGTGCATGATTTTTAAATGAATTTATACACCTCTCAAATACCTTTGAGACTTTTCTCGCTGGTGTCCATTAGAAACAACTAAATAGCGGCGTATGTTATGCCGCGGGCCGGCTCGTAATATTTAATTTTAGTTAAACGGGGGAAGATATTTTTAAAGTCAAGTCTTTTAGATTTTGAAGACAACGTCAACATGATTGTTGAAAGCCCAACTTTTAACTACTACTGCTTCAAAATGAAAGTGTTTATTTTAAGATTCAAGAGACTTGATGTATTTAAAGAGCCATGAAAGGCTTATCTGAGCCCTAAGTCCTGAGCTTTGAAGGACTTGTTGGAAGGACAGAGGGACCTAACCCAAACGATTTATCTAAAACCAACAGAGTTGTATAATGTAGGACTGGTTTGATGGACGATACAGCGATACCAAGAGACAGTTTTCTGCAGACAATTTCATTTTTTTGTGTGTCTAAAACACACTCTCGGAGATACTAATGTATCGATTTTTCATAGACGGTCAGGATAAACCATATCTTGTTGCTGGCGAGCAACCCTTTCTACCAAACCACTAACAATCTTTTTTCCCTGGACAGCTAGAAACCTTTTACCGGTTAGTAATCATTTCCACCAACCCGCCAGCCTTCCATCAACCCACTAGCTACCCCTAACACCAACCCCACCAACCACACCCTCCACCAACCCGCTAGCAAACCTTTCCACCAACCTATGAGCAACCCCTTCTACTAATCCATTAGAAACCCCTCCACCAACTCGCGAGCAACCCATTTACCAACCCATTAGCAACTTTTTCACCAAAGCCATCAGCAACCCTTTCCACCAACCCAACATTACCTTTTCCACCAACCCACCATTACCTTCCAACACCCACCAGCAACCCTTTCCACCAACCCACCATTACCTTCCACCACCCACCAGCAACCCTTCCACCAACCCGCCACCAACCCATCCACCATTATCTACCCCCCCCCCCCCCCCCCCACCACCACCAGGGCCGACCACCGACAAACCCCGACGATATCTCGAAGGTTATTTTTCTTGGCAGAGAGTTATCTCCCCTCCACTGTCCGGCCTCCCCACCGAGTTCACCATGTTGTGTTCTCTCAAGAGCCCACCCTTGTTTGCTTGCCCCCTGTTTGTGTATCTGTGCGCCCCTACTCCACCCCCCTCCACCGGGGGCCAATTTGGCCCCTGGGGTTGGGGCGTCAATATTTAGAAACAAAATAGCGTCATCTCTACTCCGGACCCCCCACCTCCCCCCTCCCCCTATAGCAATCGCTCATTTCTCGGTCTTCTGCATCCTTCGTCTCCACCATTCTTTGCCTCCACTTGAGAAAAAGCTCGATAAAGAGAGATAACTCCGTGTCGTAAGGGGTCAAATCCAATTAGGGTGCTCGGCCGCGGTTCAAGATTACACGCATCGATTTCCTCTGTCCCGGGCCAGCCCGGGGATGGCCCCGGGACGCTGGCCAAGAGTTGAGATTGTTATGATGGCCAGCACATCAAAACAAAACTCAAGTGGGGGGGGGGGGGGGAAGAAGGAGGGAAAAAAAACTTTAGGATTGCGAAATCAAAAGTTATTAGCTCCCTTTGCGGCGAGATTCAATTCGTTCGCTGGTCCGAATTTAAGGCATGAAAGAGAATTTTGTTTCTTTCCGAATGATAGCATCTGTATTTTATCTTTTTTTTTTTTAAATTCTATTTATTTTTCTTTTCTGGTAATAAATTTAAGCATCGTCCGTGTTGTCGCACGCAAATAAAGTTCTATTGGAGAGTCGCCTAGCTATATTTTTTTAGCTCAGAACCTCACACCACACCACAGTACTAGAAGGCTAAAATATCAAATTCATGTTTGCAACAGAATTTCAAAAATGCTAATGAATGCGTATATGGAAATTTAATTTTACTGTTGTCTGAAAGTTTCTGTAAATTGCAAATTCGGGCGACATGGTGGCCGGAAAGAACCGCAACGGAAAAAAGCGCAACGGAAAAAAGCGCAAAACAAAAAGCGCAACGGAAATAAGCGCACACGGAAAAAAGCGCAAAGAGAAAAAAGCGCACACGGAAAAAAGCGCAAAGAGAAAAAAGCGCAAAGAGAAAAAAGCGCAAAAAGAAAAAAGCGCACACAGAAAAAAGCGCAAACAGAAAAAAGCGCACACGGAAAAAAGCGCAAAGAGAAAAAAGCGCACACGGAAAAAAGCGCAAAGAGAAAAAAGCGCAACGAGAAAAAAGCGCAAAAAGAAAAAAGCGCACACAGAAAAAAGCGCAAACAGAAAAAAGCGCAAACGGAAAAAAGCGCAAACAGAAAAAAGCGCAAACGGAAAAAAGCGCAAACAGAAAAAAGCGCACACAGAAAAAAGCGCAAACGGAAAAAAGCGCAAACGGAAAAAGGCGCAAACAGAAAAAAGCGCAAACGGAAAAAAGCGCAAACAGAAAAAAGCGCACACAGAAAAAAGCGCAAACAGAAAAAAGCGCAAACGGAAAAAAGCGCAAACAGAAAAAAGCGCACACAGAAAAAAGCGCAAACGGAAAAAAGCGCAAACAGAAAAATGCGCAAACAGAAAAAACAACGAAAAATGTGCAAAAGAGAAATTTAGCACAAATACCTATATCGACTAGATGACACATTTATACATGACTGTTAGGGCTGCTGTAAGAGTGTCGTGTTTGATCACGTGATCTACTACCATTTAAAGCGTACCACTACCATGTGCATTCCCCTCACCACGATACAGGCGATAATCGCTTTACACAATGCCTATTATTTTCTTGGTCAATAATTATTCAACTACTATTCTCATATAAATAAACATAAAACTATTCTTGATATTGACATTACACGAAGTATCTCTCACATTCTCCCTAGTCCGAACTACCTAGCTTGCATACCATAACTACCCGTTCCTATGGCAAAACTTCACTCTCTTTCATCCGCGTCATCTAACATGCATTCGTCATATTTCTCGCAACAACATTCATTCGCACCAAAACACACATCATAACGACGATTTATTTACCATTATTTCATTATGACGCACCTACCTACCTACCTACCAACCTACCTCCCTCCCTCCCAACACCTCCCTCCCTCCCTGACTGCCTGACTACCTACCTGTCTGCCTGCCTGCTTGCCTGCCTACCTACCTACCTACCTACTTACTTGCCTACCAACCTGCCTGCCTGCCCACCTGCCTACCTACCTACTTACCTGCCTACCAACCTGCCTGCCCGCCTGCCTGCCTACCTACCTACCTGCCTACATGCCTACCCACCTATCTAATTACCTCATATATATATATATATATATATATATATATATATATATATATATATATATATATATATATATATATATATATATATATATATGGGTAGGTGGGTAAGTGGGTGGGTAGGTAGGTTGTTAGGTGGGTATGTGGGTAGATGTGTGGGTGGGTAGTTAGGTAGGTGGTTTGGTGTTTTTGTAGATGATATAGATTATGCACATTTCCATTTTGCTAGCTTAGTAACAGTGTTACAAAACTCGAAATTTCAAACTGGTTTGGCGTAAGGTTAGTTCATTGATCCTGTTGAGCCCTACATTACATAGTTAATCAGTTTAACAATGTAGATGATATTGTAGTAGGTGTAAGTCAAAGCCTGATGTTATTATAAAACTTCATCCCTCTTTGTTTCTTTATAAAAAGGTTTTGGAAGGTTTTTTTAAGGTTTTTTACTGAAAGGTTTACCGGACGAATGCAAAATGATATAAACAACCATAGCTCTTCTGTTATATAGACTACATGCAGTGTTTCTTCCAGTCTTTTTTCTCCGGGGCTAAGGGGGGGGGGGGGGATTTTCGGGGGGGGGGGGGGGTCAACATTTTTCGGGGGGGGGGGGGGCGGACACTAGTAAAAGTGTATGTTTACATGTTTTCATTACCCTTCAAACAATAGTCTATTTTAGTTATATTGAGATTAAAGAATGTAAATATATAGTACACACAATTCTGTAGAATAGGAACGATTGGGAGGGAAGTGACATATAGCGCAAGAAATTTAGAGGTTACGTAGGGTATAATAAATGGTGGGGTTAGGAAAGTTAGGGGGTCCATTCTCTAACAGGCAGTCTATGTCTCTTTCGTACTTTCGTGTTGGTTTATTGTCGAACCTGTCCTCACATCACAACAGTTGGGTGACGCTTACCGTGTAATGTTAAAATAAATAGCATGTAATTGAGTTAGTTCGAAGTGAGTTTTCATACAAGCCCAACGCACTAATTAAGATTGTCGCAAAATGTAACATATATGTAACATATGTCAATGATATCAATGAATTTTCATTAAAAAAAAGTACAGTTTACGAAACTAACGAACTTCGCCGATCCTTTTTCGGTGGGTAGGTGGGTAAGTGGGTAGGTGGGTAAGTGGGCAGGTGGGTAGGTGGGTAAGTGGGTAGGTGGGTAAGTGGGTAGGTGGGTAAGCGTGTAGGTGGGTAGGTAGGTAGGTAGTAGGTGAGTAGGTAAGTGCGTCATGATGTGAAATAATATTAAATACATAATTGTTATGTTGGTGCGATGAATGTTGTTGCGAGAGATATGAGAGATATGACGAATGCATGTTAGATGACGCGGATGAAAGAGAGTGAAGTTTTGCCATAGGAACGGGTAGTTATGGTATGCAAGCTAGGTAGTTCGGACTAGGGAGAATGTGAGAGATACTTCGTGTAATGTCGATATCAAGGATAGTTTTATGTTTATTTATACGAGAATAGTAGTTGAATAATTATTGACCAAGAAAATAATAGGCATTGTGTAAAGCGATTATCGCCTGTATCGTGGTGAGGGGAATGCACATGGTAGTGGTACGCTTTAAATGGTAGTAGATCACGTGATCAAACACGACACTCTTACAGCAGCCCTAACAGTCATGTATAAATGTGTCATCTAGTCGATATAGGTATTTGTGCTAAATTTCTCTTTTGCACATTTTTCGTTGTTTTTTCTGTTTGCGCATTTTTCTGTTTGCGCTTTTTTCCGTTTGCGCTTTTTTCTGTGTGCGCTTTTTTCTGTTTGCGCTTTTTTCCGTTTGCGCTTTTTTCTGTTTGCGCTTTTTTCTGTGTGCGCTTTTTTCTGTTTGCGCTTTTTTCCGTTTGCGCTTTTTTCTGTTTGCGCCTTTTTCCGTTTGCGCTTTTTTCCGTTTGCGCTTTTTTCTGTGTGCGCTTTTTTCTGTTTGCGCTTTTTTCCGTTTGCGCTTTTTTCTGTTTGCGCTTTTTTCCGTTTGCGCTTTTTTCTGTTTGCGCTTTTTTCTGTGTGCGCTTTTTTCTTTTTGCGCTTTTTTCTCGTTGCGCTTTTTTCTCTTTGCGCTTTTTTCCGTGTGCGCTTTTTTCTCTTTGCGCTTTTTTCCGTGTGCGCTTTTTTCTGTTTGCGCTTTTTTCTGTGTGCGCTTTTTTCTTTTTGCGCTTTTTTCTCTTTGCGCTTTTTTCTCTTTGCGCTTTTTTCCGTGTGCGCTTTTTTCTCTTTGCGCTTTTTTCCGTGTGCGCTTATTTCCGTTGCGCTTTTTGTTTTGCGCTTTTTTCCGTTGCGCTTTTTTCCGTTGCGCTTCTTTCTGGGAACCGGGCGACATATGGGGAAAAAACTCGGCTGTCTTAGCTATTGAAACAATTTTTTTCTCGTGTTCAAGCCATGGTTCATGATCATGGTTCCTATAAACTTATTGTATTTTCTTTTTAAATTATAGGTATTTAGATTGTTTTTGAGGTGTGCCAATAGACTCATGGCTTTGTAATTGATGTAACAATAGACCCCTGACTTGTATGAGTTGTGCCAATAGACCCCTGACTTGTATGATTTGTGCCAATAGACTTCCTGCTTTTATTGTATGTTCCAGTAGACTTAACTTATATTTGTTGTGCCTGTAGACTCCTTCCTGTGTTTGCTTAGACAATAGACACCCGACTTGTATTTGTTGCGTCAATAGACACCCAACTTACATTTGTTGTATATATAGACACCCAACTTACATTTGTTGTATAAATAAACACCCAACTTATATTTGTCGTGCCAATAGACACCCAACTTGTATTTGATGTGTCAATAAACACCCAGCGTGTATTTATTGTGCCAATAGACACCGAACTTGTATTTATTGTGCCAATAGACTCTTCCCACGTATTTGTCGAGCCGATAGACGCCCGCCTGGTTGATGTGAGTCGCGAGTCGACAAATCCCAAAAATTGTTTCAATTTCCTGCCCGCAAGCCCGCAGGGAGGGAGGCAAATTGTGCTAAGTAATTGTCCATCGGAGGGAGCGTCAACTGGGGAGCGATTCCAGAACGTCACTGGGAGTGCACTAACTTCGTCGGGGTAGAGAGGAGTGCAATAACTTAGTCGGGGTAGAAGGGAGTGCACTAACGTAGTCGGGGTAGAGGGGAGTGCACTAACGTAGTCGGGGTAGAAGGCAGTGCACAGTATCGACGGGGCAGAGGGCAGTGCATTTACGGCAGGGGACAGCTTTGTGAATGTAGAAGGCAGTGACATGGCATTGTCATATGATGTCATTTTTACTTGACTGGTCGAAATGTATGCTTTAAAATTGTACGAGTTTTACAGGCAAGTCACATGATCAAATGTTATCATCATATTGATCGATAAGAAGTGAGAATTTTAAAAAGTTAGTTGGGAATCGTGCTCAATATTTAAAGTGCTTGATTAGCAAGATTTGAAGTACTTGATTCTCAAGATTGGTAGTACTTGATCATCTAGACTAGAGCGCATCAAAATGTCATTGAACTTGATGGTATCAAGATTTAAAGAACCTTTACCTGCAATACCCGCCCCAATAGTCCCTACTCCCTACGCAGCCCCCCCCCACCAAAAGCCCCAACACCCGCCCCAAAAGCCCCTATCCCCAACACCCGCCACCCCAACAGCCCCTATCCCCAATAGCCCCTATCTCCAACACCCCCTCCACCTGGTTAGGATTCGAACTCCAGACCCGAAACCGAATATTGACTTATCTCAAAGGTGTGAACAGTTTTTTTGTGAAAATTATGTCCCTTCTGCTCGATTTATCTGCCCTTTCTTAAGGGCGGTATCCCTCCCACGCAGTACAGGTGTTCACGAGTGAAGGTCACAGGTGGTGAGCAACATGTCTATCACGAGCTACTCACGTTAAGGTCAATGAACGACGGGGCGCAACAATCGATGTTGAGGGTAGGGAGGGGGCGGATATTAAGTGGGAGGGGTCAGAAAATAGCATGTCTGATGATTGCATCACGTATGAATTTAAATAATTCTATCTTGTCCTTGAATTCATCGTGTACTGAGTAATAAAATATACATACTTCGAAATAATGCGTTTGTTTATGTTACGTTATATTAAGTTATGTTAGGTTATGAGTGTACTAAAGTTATTGATTAAAGGTGTTTACATAATTTTATGTCATACAGTTCATTAGAAAAAGTTATTTTTACATCAGTGTCGAAGTACTGCTATCAGCGAGCTTTGGTTTAGCAAGGTAAATTCAAACTAATTTGCTGCAAACTACCACACGTGTACTTGAAGTAAGACAGTATGACGTCACTGTTGCATAATTGCTACAGCGAAAGCAAGGGAAATAACCAGGGCTAGACAATTTCCACTTGAAAAATTAGAAATCAACGAGCAACGGCATTAACGGATATACTAATTGGGTAATTAATTAGCGTCCTTACCCGTCCACTGATTCCTTGGCCAGTTCAATATCTGCCAGCGATTGGGATGAGAGATTCCACTGTAGATGTTTTGGGGGTGGCAGGTTAACTTTTTCACTGGTTACATCGAAAATCTTATCTTTGCCCCTGTTTCACGAACAGAACAAAAAAAATAGAACATGGAACTATTGAACACACTTAGATGAGTGAACGTAAAGAAGAAAAATAAAATCCAGCTGATTACTCATTTTAATAAGTAACTGATAATTAAGTTACAATTTGAAAATAACCTTTAATCTAGTATCGTTTACGTAATTGGCATAGGGGGTAGAGAGCTAGACTGTTAACCCGAAAGTTTCGAGTTCGAATCCAGGTTTCAAGCCAGGAGAACGTCCCTGAGTCCACCCAGCTGTGATGGGTACCTACACGTTAGGGGAAAGCAAATACAGCTGGGCATAGTGCCGACCACCCAGCTTTCTAAATGGGCTAACCACAGCGTCTCTCCTTCATCTGCCCCGAAATGGTCTTAATTGGTGTTCTAAATAGGCTTTAACCCGGCGTTATAGATGGGCTTAACCCAGCGTTCTTAATGGGCTTAACCTGGTGTTCTAAATGGGCTTTAACCCGGCGTTTTAGATGGGCTTAACACGCCATTCTAAATGGGCTTAACCTGCTGTTCTAAATGGGCTTTAACCCGGCGTTATAGATGGGCTTAACCCAGCGTTCTTAATGGGCTTAACCTGGTGTTCTAAATGGGCTTTAACCCGGCGTTATAGATGGGCTTAACCCAGCGTTCTTAATGGGCTTAACCTGGTGTTCTAAATGGGCTTTAACCCGGCGTTTTAGATGGGCTTAACACGCCATTCTAAATGGGCTTAACCTGCTGTTCTAAATGGGCTTTAACCCGGCGTTATAGATGGGCTTAACACGCCGTTCTTAATGGGCTTAACCTGGTGTTCTAAATGGGCTTTAACCCGGCGTTTTAGATGGGCTTAACACGCCATTCTAAATGGGCTTAACCTGCTGTTCTAAATGGGCTTTAACCCGGCGTTATAGATGGGCTTAACCCAGCGTTCTTAATGGGCTTAACCTGGTGTTCTAAATGGGCTTTAACCCGGCGTTATAGATGGGCTTAACACGCCGTTCTAAATTGGCTTAACCCAGCGCTCCCTCTACTCTATCTGCCCCGAAATGGGCTTAATCTGGCGTTCTAAATGGGCTTAACCCAGCGTGCTATTACAAACATAAGCCTAAGTGCCACCAGGGGCGGGGACTGTTTGTACAAACTCACATGACACTGAAGGCGTGCTCCACCATATGACCTAAGGCGATGCCTTCTGCTATCGAGTGCTCCATGTTGATACCGCAAGTTCCGTCTTTTGAGATGATCACCTACAAGGGGAGACAAGCAAACAAAACTTGGTGAATTTGTTTTACCCACATTCAGAAGAACAGAAAGACGAATAAAACACAGATAAAATATGTTTTATTTATTTTTAGAATATTTGGCTACATGCATTTAATTAAAAACGATAATTATACACCATTATACAGTATTAAATATTATAAGTATTTATTATTTGAAAGTATTAGGAATTTAAAAAAAAAATGTTGATATAAATCAAACGTCAGCATACAGCGTTCATTTTCAAAAGGGCTCACGTTTCCTAATAATTTCAAAATTTAATGTATATATGCGATTAGTGTTCATGTCTTTGATTCTGTGTAAAACTATCAAACAAATTATTATTACTTATTTAAATGATGTTTAAAACAATTGAATTAATAAAAAAATATTTTTAAAAATTCAAAATTTAAAGTTATAAATGAGGACAAGTTATTTTTAAGCTGATTTGATAAATAGAGTGAATGAACTCGGTAGGTCGAATGACGTTTATAGTTTTGTATTGTAGAGTAACTAGACTTAATGGTCCGATTATGTGTGTAGCTGGTATCTAGAGCTACCTGTATAATGTTGTAATATTGTGTGTAGTTTCATGTGAATCCGGTAACTAGACCTACCTCTAGTTTTGTGTCAAGCTGGTAACTAGACCCACCTGTATAGTTTTATAAGAAGCTGTAACTAGACCCACCTGTATAGTTTTTTAAGTAGCTGTAACTAGACCCACCTGAATAGTTTTGTAAGAAGCTGGTAACTAGACCTACCTAAATAGTTTTGTGAGAAGCTGTTAACTAGACCTACCTGAATAGTTTTGTGTGAAGGTGGTAACTAGACCTACCTGTATAGTTTTTTGAGAAGCTGGTAACTAGACCCACCTGTATAGTTTCGTATGAAGCTGGTAACTAGACCTACCTGTATAGTTTTATGAGAAGCTGTAACTAGACCTACCTGTATAGTTTTGTAAGAGGCTGGTAACTAGACCTACCTGTATAGTTTTGTAAGAGGCTGGTAACTAGACCTACCGTTATAGTTTTGTAAGAAGCTGGTAACTAGACCTACCTGTATAGTTTTATGAGAAGCTGGTAAATAGACCCACCTGAATAGTCTTGTCCATCCACCGATTGCCCGAGTTGTTATGGACGCCCTGACCGTGAATGACGTGGTGGGTACGTGCTGTCATGTCATTCATCATCCCGCCCGGCAGGTTCCGGCACGATGGCACCGTGGGCTTGTCCAGACACAACAGGAAGATGCAGTTCTCCAGCAGACTCAGGTTGGTTCTGTTCGCGGCATCTGGGGGGAGGCAAGACCAGGGGTTCTAACATTGTTGGGGACATGACACATGTAATAAGATACTTGGCGCCAGGGGTTCTTTAATTGTTGGGAACATGACACATGTAATAAGATTCTTGGGGACAGGGGTTCTTACATTGTTGGGAACATGACACATGTAATAAGATTCTTGGGGTTAGGGGTTCTAATATTGTTGGGGACATGACACATGTAATAAGATACTTGGGGCCAGGGGTTCTTTAATTGTTGGGAACATGACACATGTAATAAGATTCTTGGGGTTAGGGGTTCTAATATTGTTGGGGACATGACACATGTAATAAGATACTTGGGGCCAGGTGTTCTAACATTGTTGGGGACACGACACATGTGAAAATTGTTGGGAAGCAAGACCAGGGTTTTTGACATGGTTGGGGACATGACACATTTGAAAAAATACGTGATGTTTTGACAGAAATAGTGTATGAATGTGTATATCATGCATTAGGGAGAAATAAAATGCTAAGATTTTTTTTTTTTAATCTACTATTCGGGTATCTATGTCTTTGGAATGTCAGATGTAGTACAGTGCATATGTTTCTAAAGTAATGTGAAAATATTGCGGTGTACTGGAATTTGAAGACAGTCGCCAACCTGGGCTGCTTTTGTTTTGTAAAAATGGTTAAAGAGTGGACATTTGACATGACCAGGTGTCAGTATGTCACTGGATATGTGTCTGTCACTAGAGATGTCATAGTGTCAGCATGACACTTGACATGACACGACATAACACTGACCTTGTTGCAATCTCTCCCGGTGCTCCGCCCACAAGTTACGTTTCTGGGCGGTCAGTAGTCCAACCGGGGGCGAGTGGTCATCCTGCTCGGCCATCTTGATAACACGTGACAGCTGTAGACAGAGGTCAGCGCCAGACAGCTCCTCACCCTCTTGTTGGAGGTCAACTTTGTAGAACTGGGAATCACAATGGACTATGTGTCTTAGAGCTCACCTCATATACATACATATTTACATTCATTTATATGTGATTGTATGTATATAGATAAATAAATAAATATATATATATATATATATATATATATATATATATATATATATATATATATATATATCAGTATGAATGTATGGTGTGTTTGAGTCGTTTTGTCAGACTTGATTAAGAAATAATTTGATGTTATCATTTTTTTTGTGCAATACTTTATTGTAATGTTTAAAAAACATCAACAAAATTATGACGGGAAAATGTAAACAATCGTAAAATGAATGTTCAAAAAATAGCGAGTGAGAATGAAGATGTATGGCACTGAGTATGACAATCTAGGCGTTGATTTGATCAGTTGGACTGAGTTTCGTTGGTTGAGTTTAAACACAAAGCGTGTGTTTAAAAAACACAAAGGTTGTGTTTAATTCGAGTAGATGTTATCACCTCTAGACAATACAGAATGGACATTTATTCTTGTATTTTTATTTTTATTTTATTTTTTTATTTTTTTTTTAAACCAGCGTTACCTGGTTGTTGCAGGCTACGACGATAAACTCCCTCCCCATCAGCCCCAGCTCTGTTCTCTGGATGTCTCTCTCCCGTCCAGGCTCGCGATAAGACGTGAACAGCCGGTAGTGTTGGTCCATGCAGAGTGGTTGCCCTTTTTCCTTGTACTTGCAGCGTTCCACAGGTAGGGTGCGCCTAAGGGGAGATAACATTTTTAAAAAAATACACTACCCGGCTTCGATTCTTTCGTCTGTGTTTATATATCTCCCGGGGTGGACAGGATTCGATACATCAACATTCAACCCATTTAACGACCACATTTATGTATAACCCAGGCCGTAATTTCAAATCGGACATTCCAAGCCATTCCTCACACCTCTACAATTAAATTAAGATTATGGAAGCTTTCCAAATGACCAGTTACAATGAAGAGAAAAAAAAACCTGGATATTTTCCAAAAATGACTCGGAATTTTTAAAGTTAAAAAAAAGATTGGTGGAATTGGTACAAATGAGGACGTTTTTATATTGTGGCGTGGAGGGCGGTTACAATTATACTAAACGTAAAGCAGACTACTGAATGCTTACGTTTACAGAATTACAACTACATATATCATTCATCGTAGGCTACTATACATCAAATGAGTACACTATTTAATCCATCACATCATATTACCCTATTCTCTGTATCAGATTTAATTTATGGTTAGAATTAGGGAATACATGGCGCTCCTCTAGATCTGAAGATCTAATTAAGTGTATACATCATAAGACAAAAGCCCCACTTAACATAGAAGCCCCACTTAACACATAAGCTTCACCTTATGTAGAAGCCCATTTGACGCAGAAGTCCACTGAATGTACAAGCCCACTTAACACAACCGCCTTGCTTAACGCTCCAGTTAATGTAGAAGCCCATTTAACACACACCCACTTAACGTATATCTCCAAACAAACACAGAAACTTAATAATTTTACGTAAAATCCCACAATACTAAACATTATGCAATAAACTCCGTCCACCCCAGAAACACTACACTCAACACGAATACACAGAAAACCCTACAAAATTACACCCTCAAGCCCCCATAGTATTACACTATATTTTATAACCTTAATACCAGAGCAAAAGCGATTTTTTTTTAACTGAAGCCCCCAAATGTTACACTTTGCTCGCTCTACGGGTCAAAGGTTACGCCATTTGAAGAAACCTGTTAACTAGATTAGGTTTAGGGAGAGTCTATTAACTTCTGCCGAGAGCCTAACCAGATTGAGTATGTTTGTATGTCTGTGGTGGGGGAGCGAAGATAGAAGTGACGGAAGAGGGAGGGGCGCCACAATGTTCGCTCGTCTTCACTAGGGGGTGGAGATAACTGTGGGGAGATAATGTCCAAATGTCATGACAATTCTCACGATGTTTTTTTTTCTCTCTCCATTTTTTTTTCTCCTTTCCTCTCTGTCTCTCTTCTCTCTCTCTCTCTCTCTCACTCTCTCTCTCTCTCTCGTGTGTCTCTCGCTGTCCTTACGCTAGCAATTTTTTTTTTTTTTTTTTTTTTTTTTTTTTTTTTGTGGAAAAAATAAATAAAAGGAAACACCAGTTGTGGGACATTTGTGTGGAAATTAGAATGAAAAAAAAAGTTTCCCAGCAAAAGGCGCCGTTCCCATGACGGGAACCACGTGACGACGAAAGCAAATGTCTCATTGGGCACGTCTGGAATTAAGAGATTTTAAAGCTCGCACGAGGAAGCGACAACAATTTAAAGGGAAACAACTTTATTTTTATCACGTTTTTAAAAAAATGTGCTCTTTATTTTAAAAAGAAATCACTTTTTGTTTTCTTTATAAGAGCAGTTTTTGTTTTTATAGATTTTAAACAATAATTACGAATTTTTACTAAGTTAAAATTACTTTAGCCTACTTATAGTAAGAATTGCAACAAGTTTTGTTTTTAAAAATAGATCATTAAGGGGCAACTACTCTTATATCGGAATTTTTTAAAAACTTTTCAGTACTTAAAATTTGATACATTTTATCAGTGATTTATGGAGGGATACTCCAGTGAACTCGGTCGTCTGCTGCTTATAGATTTCTACACTATTTTTGATCTTTGACGCCCGTTGTGAGCCTGCCTTCAAAAGTAACTTGGCTTCTATTTATGTCTTACAGTGTATCCCATTACAGAAGGCTAACGAACAGCGTACCAGTAAAAAGGTCGTTATGTGCGTTGGTTGTAGGTTTTATGACCTAATGATGGTAGCTGTTTTATGGGGTGATTGGTGTTTTAAAAGTTTGTTTAAGAGAGGAAGTAGGATTGGCTGTAGCGGTACTTATGGTGGTTTCCTGATCGTAAAGAAATTTAGATGGTGTGTGTGTAAGGGAGGGGGGGGGGGGTATGAGGATAGTATACATAAATGATAGAGGCGTGGGGAAACAAAAGGGGTGGGGTGGACATTAAGGTGTGGGAGATGTGGGGGTGTTAATGATGAGAGGTGTGTCGGAGGGGGGGGGGTAGATTGAAAGGGGCTTAAGTGATAGAATGCACACAAAAAAGGTAAAGATTCTGCTTTATACCTAGCGATCAGTTGGCAGATGCTGTACAGTTCATTTGTTTCTTGACCTCGGCATGTGAAGGGATAGTGTGGTCAGCACTATGCCCAGCCACCTTACGTTTCCCTAACATGAGTTAGGTACCCATCAGAGCTGGGTGGCCTCAGTGCCGTTATACTGACTTGAACTCAAGACATACTGGTTAGCAGTCAAGTGCTCTACCGATACGCCACGCCGTCCCAATGATAGAGTGATGGGTAGGTTAAAGGACATGTATTGAATATTGTGGAATATTAAGGCGTGGAATGTGTGGGTAGGGTGGGGAAGGTTGTAGAGAATTAGGGAATAAAAGGGAGGGCGTAATAAAACTATGGCAGATATAGGGCAATAAGAAATACGGTTCTCGTAATGTCAAAGTGATATGAGAACAGGAGTCAGAATCTAATGGTAGCCCAACATACTCATGGTTATTTTTTAGAACGAAAGCCTTGGCTACTAAACAATTAAAAATATTTCTTAATTTCATCCTAATTAATTAGACTTGATTGACTTACGTGTCTGTTAATCTTTTGAAGTCTAGCATCCCTCGAATGAATTTGGCCGCGAATCTGAGAAAAAGAAAAAAAAAAAATTTTGTTGTTGTTGAGATGGATGGATGTAGTTACTGGGCTAGAAAATGTTTACTTCCCTTTCGTTTTTTTTTCCGTCTCTCGGAGCAATCTGATACTGAGCAAACAAGATAAATTCTGCTCGGTGCTAACTGTCGTGTTTGCTACGTGATGTGTGTCGTAGTTGTATCGTTGTGTGTCTTGCTAGTATCGTCTTGTGTGTCCTAGTTGTATAGTTGTGTGTCTTGCTAGTAACATGTTGTGTGTCTTGCTAGTAATATGATGTGTATTGGTAGTTAGACGATGTGTGTCTTGCTACTATCGTCGTGTGTGTTTTACATGTGTGTCTTGCAAGTATCATCGTGTGTGTCCTCGTTGTATCGTGTCTTGCAAGTATGCTGTGTCTCGTTAGAATCGTTGTGTGTAACTGCTGGTAATATGTTGTGCAGTGTTAGAAAGGTTGTGTGCGTCCCCTCTGATATAACTTGTTGCTGTATCATACGACGGTATAGTTGTGTGTCTGTATAAGCGTGTTTATTGTACGTTGTTGTTGTGCGTTTTGATATCATTGAGTGTCCAGAATGTAAGTTATAACACGTTCTTGTGTGTGCGATTACCATCGAAGATTGTTTATCATATGTTAAAAGGGTGGGGTTGTGTGTAAAGTGTTGTATGTCGTAGATGGGTTATGGCTTATGTCCTATGAAATGTCGTGTGTATAATTGTATAATGTGCCTTACTTATATACAATTGGGTTTATATTATGTGTATCATGGTGTATCCCACATGAATTTTAAAGTTTGTTCTATGATTATTTCCAACTTGAATTGTGTTGTGTGTCCTACATGTCTTGTATGTATGTATGTATGTATGTCGTATAGGTGCTGTGTGTTTTCCTATCTGACTTGCTCCCTCTGTTGGGGAAGGCCTGATGTGTTCTGTATGTCCTATATGTCTTGTATGTATGTGTGACCTATAAGAGACTATATTTTGACCTACCTGACTTGTTCCCTCTGGGAGGGGAAGGCCTGGTATGGGAAGATGGCACCAGGGTTCGAGTTGATGAGGACAGGTGCCCTGACATTCAGGTACATGTCATTGAGCCAGTACTCATTAGCCTAGGGAAGACAGAACAATTTTAGTTAACCTAGGGAGGACAGAAAAATTGCATTTAGCCTAGGGAAGACAAAACTTATTTAGCCTAAGGAAGACAAAAAAGATGTTAGTTAGTCTAAGGAATAGGCCATCGTTTTAGTTAACCTGTGAAGACAAAACAATACTACATAATGTAGTGAAGACACAAGTTTTAATACATCTATATCCTTCTACATTTGGGCCCACTGAAGCTTTATATTCTGAAATAGACAACTGCACTGTTGTAGCAATTAAAATTTAAAAAAAGACCCAAAAAAAATCAAATCTCCTCTTTTAGTATGATGTAGTCGCCCTTTAAAATATAAAGAGACTCCACTAGGTTTTTGCCCTTTCCCTTTTGAATCAGAAAAACGAGAATCAAAGCTGCCCTTTTAAAGTAAACAGCAACACGTAACGTGTGGGTCCTTAGAAGTTAATGAGGCGATATAAAGTTTACCCGATGGCACAAGTGTGTCGCCCTTTCAAGCTAAACATACAACAACAAAAAGTGTTTTTCTTTCAAGTAATGAATTATCTTAGCATTAATGCCCTTTAGAGTTAACGTAAAAAACATTAACGCTCTTTAGAGTTTAGGTAAAAAAAAACATTATCTCCCTTTAGAGTTAACGTAAAAAAAAAAAGCTTTAACGCCCTTTAGAGTTACGGTAAAAACGCATTAACGCCCTTTATAGTTTAGGTAGAAAACTAAAGCATTATCACCCTTTAGAGTTTTGGTTAAAAAAAAAAAAAACATTAACGCCCTTTAGAGTTTAAGTGAAAAAAAACCCATTATCTCCCTTTAGGCTTAAGGTAAAAAAAGTTATCGCCCTTTAGAGTTAATGTAAAGAAATTTTTTTTTTGGCAGCAAATGAACTCACCCAATTGTCCATAGCCTGCTGCCGCTGCAGGAGTTGTTCCTGCAACTCTTGACCAACACCCCCTTGCCGGCAGAACTCCTCCACGATGTACTTGGTGCGGGCGTAGTCTTGAGGGGAAACGACTGTCTTGATAAGGCTAAGGTACTTGTCCATGGTGCCTTGTAGGTCTGGCACTGGTAGTTTGGGTAGTGGTAGCTGGAGGGAGATAGGAAGGTCAGGGTTAGTCAAGCTTGATGGTTACCGTTGTATAGAGAAATATATATATATATATATATATATATATATATATGTATGTAAGTATGTATATATATATATATATATATATATATATATATATATATATATATGTATGTATGTATATACATATATATATATATATATATATATATATATATATATATATATATATATATATATATATATATATATTTATATATATATATATATATATATGAATGTATGTATATATATATATATATATATATATATATATATATATATATATATATATATATATATATATATATATATATATATATATATATATTATAACTGCACTTATGAAAATGTATGCCAATTTTGGTAAAAAAAAACAACAGGAGTAGTAATGTGTTTAAGTGAAGATTTATTATAGTGTTTTGTATAATTTATTGAAGTTTGTGGTGTCAATTTAATTGTGTTGTGTAGATGTATTGAAGTGTGGTGAGTTTTTTTATTGAAGAGTGCTGTTTACTTGTGTTAAAGTGTATTGTGTGCTTGTATTAAAGTGTGCTGTGTAGCTGTGTCATAGTGTGTTGTAGACTTGTGTCAAAGTGTGTTGTTTATCTGTGTCAAAGTGTGTTATTTAGTTGTGTCAAAGTTTGTTGTTTAGCTGTGTCATAGTGTGTTGTGGACTTGTGATAGAGTGTGTACTTGTGTCAAAGTGTGCTGTGTAGCTGTGTCAAAGTTAGTTGTGTACTTGTGTCAAAGTGTGTTGTTTAGCTGTGTCAAAGTGTGTTATTTAGTTGTGTCAAAGTTTGTTGTTTAGCTGTGTCAAAGTGTGTTGTAGACTTGTGGTGATAGAGTGTGTAGTTGTGTCAAAATGTGCTGTGTAGCTGGGTCGAAGTGTGTTGTGTACTTGTGATAGAGTGTGTACTTGTGATAGAGTGTGTACTTGTGTCAAAGTGTGCTGTGTAGCCGTGCCGTAGTGCACCTATCAACCGATTTAATTGACCAGATATTTTCCATTTTCCCAGAGCACCGAGGTCGCCAGAGGTCAAGTGTAATTAGCACAGGCGTAATTACAGCGTGACCCCGACGACGTGAGATCCGACACGAGATGGAACCAGGCGGCAGGGGGTCGTGGATAGGCCAGGGATACAACGGCAGGTAGGCAAGGATACTCGGCAAGGTGGTGGATACATCTATAGGCCAGGGATACGTCGGCAGATGTAGGCAAGGATACTCGGAAAAGTGGTGGATACAGCTTTAAAGTGAAAGTTGGAGGTAGGGATATCTGGATGGACAGGTGTGGGAATTGTTTTGATTGCATCATCGATGTTTAGACTCGTCCGTGGCTACCTAGCTAGACTGTAGCAATATTTATACAGTAGCTACATGATTGGACAGAAGCTACCTTGCTGCACTGTACCGTTACTCATACATTAGCTACATGGCTAGACGATAACGACACGGCTAGAAATTGGCTACCGGTATACAGAGAATGTTGATAGAATGTTGATACGCTGGACTAAAGCCTGTAATGCTAGCCTGTGTGGCGAAACAGCTGTTCCGTGCAAAGAATGCAGATGTTTGCACGTGCATTGCGTCATTGTTTTGTTCACTGTTTTAGTATGTAGGGATATAGGGGGTTGAAATATGAGATGGAAATGGAAATTATACGCTGTATTTTAATTGCTAGTGTTATACCGATGTTAGGTGGTGATGTATGCAAGGGAGGGAATGTTACGTAGGATGGGACGATGATAAACTATAGGGAGGCAATGCTGTAACGAGGGGTGGTAATGGTATACACAAGGGAGGTAATGTTGTAACAAGGGGAGGTAATGATATACACAAGGGAGGCAATTTTGAAACGAGGGGGGAGTTATTGATAAAGAAAAGGGAGGTAATACTGTAAAAAAGGGGAAGTAATGAAATACCCAAGGGAGGCAATATTGCATCAGACAGCTAACATTTTCTGGGTTCTCTTAAGTTCTACCTTCAATTACTTTTATTAGACCAATCATTGCTTTTAACACCTAGTAATTTGCGGGATTTCCCCATCGCAGCCTTTCATTACATCACCCACCTTCTGCGGGAATTTCCGTTTTTCGTCTACAAATCTACCTCAAGCAAAAAAAAAAAAAATTTGAAATCTTCCAACCTAATCCACAAGCTACATCCAGACGTGATATACGTCTTAACTATGACGTGCATCGTAAGAAGAAAAACATACTCCTGAACGGTGAATTAGTAGATAAGACATTTTTATACATTAGTAAAAAAAAAATATTAAACATATTATTATTTTTAACATTTGTTTTTATTAAACTGACGAAAAATTTGGAATCTTTTTTTTTAATACGAAAATAATTTTAAACTTTATCTGATTCTTAAACTTTTTTAAATATATATATAGTAAACAAAAAATGGAGTTTATTTAGATTAAATTTATTTTTTTAAAAATGGTGGTAGAGTTTTGGAAATGGAAGGTCAGACGTCATGAATCGGTGAGTCATGGTCTGGAAATAATTTTTTTTTTACACTGATGTTCCGGTTAGCGTGTGATTTAGAGCTGGATGATATTTTATTGAAATTTTTTTAAAAATATTTTTTTAGAGTCGGTAAAATTATTAGATATATATAATTTGTTAAGAATAATTATGAATATTAGATCTTTGTGAATGGGAAAATGGTTTATCCACTTTAAGACGTTTTACAGTTTTGTTTCATTGAATAATTTAATAATTTTCTTTTAAAACTCGTTAAGATAATGAATTGGGTTAAGATAATGTAGGCCTACTTTTGGGAATTTATTGTTTAAAGTACACTCAAAGTTTATTATTATAAAATAATATTTATTATTGGTCTTTTTTTCCAATCTTTTTTTTTAATGTTTGTTGACCAAAGGTGAATGAATTTTAAAAAGTCGTCTGATTAAAAATGGTGATGAGTCATACCGGGCTTAATAAGACGTCACGGATGTAATGGTACTCCATAATACACTGCAGACGGTAGATGCTGGTCCAGTGTTTGGACCATTCCGACTCCAGGGTCATTGACCCCAACACAGTACTCCCGTCAGCCATCATCCGCTTTGTGTTTTGATTGGGGTTGATTGGCGTGTAGAAATAAACAACAGCACAAAAACCACAACACGGGAAACTTGAGCACGTAGACGCGGGCGGGCACACGGCTAGGTAAGTCTAGTGATATCCATTGTCAAATGAAATTTCTACATTGATTGTGCGGATGACGAAACAACACACCATTGCGCGACCTTGCCGTATGGTAGCACATTACAGAGTTGAACTAATTGAATTTATTCGCCTGCACAGTTTCTAGACGATTTTTTTTAAACGTTGAAATCGAAATTTTAAAACTGTTTTCCTTTTGTGAATAACAAATCTCCAAATATTTCTTCTTGTAAAAAAATGTGCACGTAAATAAAAATCTAAATTCTATAATTCTTTTTATAAAAATATAAAACACGTTATATAAAATTCAAATTTAAAACCACGTTGAAAAAATACTTTTTGATATTTAACAGATATTTTAAACTGTAATTAGTCGGTTTAATAGAGAGATAGCACTAGAATCTACACACTACATAAATAGATCTAAAACTAACCTAAAGACTATGATATAATCCTTTTAATTCGGGTTTTATTGTCCGATATATCAGAAGCAAGGGAGGGTAGGGAAGGCGTTTTAAACGACATACCCCCTCCCCCAAAGCCACCCCCACCCCCTCCCCCCCCCCCCCCCCCACACACACACACAACACTTTCTTTTAAATCCGTAATCGGCTTACGATAGAATCTAAAAAATAGCTAAACACATCATCGATAACACGATTACTTAAGCAACCTAAGCCAAATTAGCCCTATCCTACAACTCGACAACATAAGCAACCTAAGCCAAAATAGCCCTATCCTACAACACGACAACATAAGCAACCTAAACCAAAATTGTCCTCACCAAACTACACCATGGACAACACGACAACATAAGCAACCTAAGCCAAATTAGCCCTATCCTACAACACGACAACATAAGCAACCTAAGCCAAAATAGCCTTATCCTACAACACGACAACATAAGCAACCTAAGCCAAAATAGCCAGTATACTGCCGTGAAACACCATGTTAAGAAAATCGTTTTATCGGCTTTTTGGTTTTTTGTTGTGTAGTGATTTCATCATCGCTTTCCTACGCGTCACGTTTCTCTTAATCCACAAGTGTACCTCCAAGAAGGACATTGTCCGGAGGAGAGGACATGTCCTTAAAGGACCATATTTAAACAAAGTACGAGCCGAGTGATATTTGCAAAGTAAATCTTTAAAAGTGATAAGTTCGAACAAGAAATGTAGCAGTATTATATCAAATATCTATATATATAATTCTCTTCTGGGATCAGTTAGAAAACAAGCTGCAAGCGCCTCCTTGCAGTCCCCTCTCTTTCTCTTTCTCTCTATCACTATCACTACCACCCCCACCCCACTCTGTTTACATTTTACAATCATAGAGACGGGTTTGGTGACGGCTATTAGGGGAAGATAATTTAGTTTGAAACGATTTTAAACTTAGAGAAGGTAACTAAGAGAAGACTGCTTTCACTGGGGGGGGGGGGGGGATGGGGGTTTAGTGTTTTAAAGCAAATATTTTCAGTGGCAGCATTGGTACTGTCGAATTCACAAATTATGAATTACTGAAAAGTAGAAAAAACAACTAAATAGCGGCGTATGATACACCGCGGGTCGGCTCGTAGTAACAAATGCGCGCGGTTTGATTTTAAAGAAAATGTTATTTAAGTAGTTAAGCATATAACGTTATGTAGTTATTGTAGTACTTGAGTTACGTGGTTGTAGCAGTTGTTCAATTATTTTGGAGTTATTATGTTAAATTGTTTTGCAAGCGCCGTAATACATTTCTCCTAGATGTGTTGTATCTCGTATCGTTATTGTTGGGTGTGTATAATGTAGATATTGAGGATTATGGTTAGTTAGCGTTTTATTTATCTCATGTGCATTATTTTAATAATAGGCAGAGTAGAGTAATGTTTTTCTAGTGTGTGTATATGTGTCTTTTACGTATAAGTTACAAAAGTATGGTAGGTTTTCCATAAAAAGTTAAATTCGCCTGATGTTTTGTGGGCTGAGCCTTATTTGATAATTTAGCATTGGAGATTCGTTAACTGATTCCCACTGTCACAAAACCCTATAATAGATATAATCTTTTTTTTAAAGAGATTCTTCTGCTATCAACAGGATCATACACTGGCTATTCCTCTAATTCTCGCGTGATACACGCGTGGTTTAATGAGGGAATTTAATGACAAACGGAAGTCATAGCTCCAAATTTAACGTGGGAAACTTAAATCCGTATTGATAACGTGATTAAAAAGTTTCGGAACGAATTCGTCAACATTTAAAAACAACACTTTCAGATTTAGAGGCGATACAAAAAGTATCGGTTAAAAACTAAAACAACACGTCATGGTATAACTTAAAATTATTGTAGCTGGTATGGTTATACGAAGGTTTCAAAACTATAATTCAAAACGATTTTTTAAAAAATGTTTACCTATAAATTAAATATTTATAATTAATAAGTTAAATTATATAACGTTATTTATGTCACTAGTGAATTCAACTCCAAAAGCGAATATGGTTTTTAAAAGTGTATGAACTCGAATCCACACATACGAATCCAACATATACTATGGTCATCCAGGTTGGTGTACATCGGAAGAAAACCACGCAGTTAGGAAAACGGAAGAGGTACTGGCTAGCTTACTCCTAGGCACCGCGTGAAACGTATAGGAGGCGGGGACGGAGGGGCGGATTCACAGGCACCTTACCGGAGTCTGGTAGAAGATTACAACCCCACCTGGAGGCTAGCAGACAGCAAGGTTGTTTTTTTTTTTAATATACGCGATTTTTTTTTTTCGTTTCGCGAGTATTTATTTATTTGATTTTATCCACATCACGGCCAGCATGCCGAGTAGAACAGCGAGCTAAAAAAAAAAAATTTTTTTACAAAAAAAAAAAAAAAAATATATCTAGGCTATCGTTGCTAGGGCCGGTCTCATAATCGTCTGGTGTAGGGGCGGTCACGTGATAAGAACTGTGTGGTTTACTACTCCGATGCTGCGCTATCAGCGGTTAATTATGTCGCGGGCGAGTTGTTCGCCCTCTCGACACTGAGGGTTTTTTTTTTTAAAGAGAACTCGGGAGTTTTCGCTTGCCGCCCCTTTTTGATCTTTCACAGTATCAGGGGCGGTTACCGTAGCTGGTGAGGCTTGTGTTTTGTCTCGGATTCAGTCATAATCAGAGCCGGCGTTAGGGGGTGGCAAACGGGGCGGTCGCCCCAGGCCCCGCGCTTGAAGGGGCCCCGCGCTTCAGCAACGCCATTGTTGCCTGAATTTTTTGTAAACTTAAATAATCTTTGCTGAATTAAATTTTAAAAAAAAAACCAACTAAATGGCCGAAATTGTTGGATGTTAAAACTGAGGCCACGGCTGATGTTAGTGAGTTATCCTCTACATGGACTGGTACAGACCGTTATTCGATACGAAGACATTTGTGTCACACATCGCTGGCACGGTCGACTCGCTATTGTCCTGAGGTGACTGGAGATGGCGGTCGCGAATTAGCCCCCGACCTGACATGGGATGTAAAATCGGGAAAAATGTAAAAAGATACCCTATTGTTTGCGGACCGTTGAAGACGTTTTTTTAGTGAGCAGGCGGTGGTGCCTGTAGTAAACAGTCAGTGACCTGATGATGGCTTGCAGAGGAGGAGGGGGGGGGGGGGAGCGGATGGGGACATGCCCCGGAAATCCAGAGTATTTATCCCTAAAATCATAATTTATACACTGTATGGGTATCTTTTGTGTAATTATGCATATTCACCACGATACGTTTGATAGGCATCCGTACAGTAATTATGTTCATATTTATTTTATATATTGCCAGGTCATCTTTAAATACATTATACTTGTATTTATTTTTATATTTTTGAAGGGCATTTATACAGTAATTATGTCCATTTTCATTTTGGTAAACTTTTACGGTATTCGTAAAGTGATTAAGCACATGTTTATTTTATTTAATTGTAGGGACAGTGGCGTAGCGAGGTCGGGTGTCACCCGGTGCGGCACTTAATGGTGTCACCCCCCCCCCCTTACCGAGGCGTAGCGACCCTTCCCGGGAAAAAAATTCAAATTTTCGATTTGCACCCCCCTCCTCAAACTTTTGATTTGCACCCCCCTCAAGTTTTTCATGTCACCCGGTGCGATCCGCAACCCCCCCCCCCGTTACGCCTCTGTGTAGGGATATTCAGTATAATAATTAAGGCCATAGTGATTCTTGTTTTAAAATAGTGTAGGCACACTAAACAAATTATAAAGTCTATACTGTTTGATACATCCGGCCGAGACTGTTTTATGGTAAAGTTCTTCTGATTTCTAAAACGTCTAAATTACCGGCAGTCCGAGCATGCCATCGCGAAACTCATAAATAACATGAAACTGGCTGTCACATAGTTCACTTTCTAATTATAGATACGGACCTTCTCTTGTGAGAACGCGGTCTTAATCTGTAATGTAATATGTGGACGCTCTATACACACGCACCATCTCTTGGATGGCTGCGGTCAGAGATCCAGTAACGTAGTACCCGAACTGATTTTTTTTAGGGTTTGGCATCCCATAGATTTAAATGTACAGTTATCCTTCACGGGCTTCACCTCACCCCACCAACTGTCACCCCCCCCCTAGTGTTCCACCTTACTGAGCGTCCGCGATTACATATGAGAGCCATTTCATTTGGATATCTATAGCTGTAAACAGTGTTTTTCACGATTCGAGCTTATTCCGAAATCTATCAATGTTTTGCTATTTTCCCCTGCATCCACACACCTTGAATGCCCCTGTTAACACTCGATAAATTGAGAAAATATCGATACTATCACCTGCCACTGTGGACCGATTTAACGTTGCTTCAAAGTGCCCGAAGGTATTAAGTCAGCCAAACAGTGCCTTCAGTACATTTGGAGTATTCGGGATTCCTTTCCCAATACGGCGATCGCCTACAGAATCTTGCTAACAGTTCCAGTCACGAAAGGCAAGAAAAGTAGATCTTCGTTTGTGAACGTACTGGTAAGATATTCATAAATAAACATTAATGTAAAAAAATCAGGTTTGAAGCTGACGTTCATCGTCTCTTTAATGCGTGTATCAAATGTATATCTGTTTTATTTTTTACTTTTCAAACAAAAAGCCTTAACAGAAACAAGCAACGTTTCAAAAGCACTTCTAAGTAAACAAATTATTTGTTAATCAGTGTCTTAATGTTAATACGACATTGATAAACAGCTTAAAAATACCATATATATCGTTATAAATA